AGTCTCAGCTTTTGCCGCCCCTTCAAGGGCCGTGCTCGAGATCTATGCACTGAGGAAGCCACAGTTGCTCCCTTACAGACCAAAGGCCCGCAGGCAGGTTCCAGCAAAGAAATTGGACACGCTACCCTGGGTCCTCCGCCCAGATCACCTGAAATCCGTCCCTTCATCCCCGCCACCTACGTGATCCAGGCCTGTCTGGGCGCCGCCATCTTGCCCCGCAGAAGTAGCGTTTCCGCCGCCGCCAGATTCCAGGTTCCGCCCCGCAGCCCAGCCCCGCCTCTCCCGGGCTTAGCTCGAAGCATTCTGGGCTTTGCTTGTTCAGCGTGGCGGACTGGTGAGCGCGGTGCTGCACGGCTGGCAGTTTATTACTCCCACGTAAGCTCTATACCATCACCCAGAACACACATCCTTTTTATTTTTTATTTTGAGACAGAGTCTTGCTCTGTCGCCCAGGCTGTGGTGCAATCTCGGCTCACTGCAACCTCCGCCTCCCAGGCTCAAGCGATTCTTGTGCCTCAGCCTCCCGAATAGCTGGGATTACAGGTGCCCGCCACCATGTCTGGCTAATTTTTATATTTTTAGTAGAGACGGGGTTTCGCCATGTCGCCCAAACTGGTCTCGAACTCCCGACCTTAGGTAATCCGCCCACCTTGGCCCCCCAAAGTGCTGATTACAGGCTGCGCCACCGCGCCTGGCCCACGCATCCTTCTGATGTACAGCAGGCACAGCCCCTTCTGCACATACGACACCCTTGGCAGGGACAGAGCGTTCCTCAGACGTCCCTCTGCACTCACCAGCCAGTGTTACCACATCCTACATCCCAGCACGCACGCCCACGGCAGCACACAGAAACGTGGACACACACACACACCAACGTGACGAATGTGTTTATGGAGGAGCTAGAAGGTAACCATGAAAAAGGCGCAAGGGAAGAACACTGCCAGAGTGCACTGCGGAAATAGTGGTGGTGAGAAGAGAGGGAATAAAGCTTTCTTGCTAGCAAGGTTATCATCTTCTCCAGAATCTTGCCTTTGTTCATCCCAGTCTCCCTTCTTGGAAATCCTCCCTCTTTTCCCTGTCACCCCTGTCTCCAAAGGATATTTCTTTAAGGCCTAGCTGGCATCAACTCTAAAACTTCTGCCAGCCACTCCTACTCACCGAACTTTCCTTGGAATCACCTGGAATCTTACCGCCTGCACCAGTTGTGTGGTATGCTGAGAACACACTGCCAACTGCCAACTGTCACCAGTTACCTTTTCACCAGACCTTGTTCTTTGCATCTAATGCTGAGCACCCAACATGTTGCCATGCACATAGTAGGACCTTAAGTAAATCATTGCTAGACTGAAGGACATCATGGGGCAGCCAATGTTAGTCCAGTGGCTTTCCAACTTTAGCAGGCACCAGAATCACCTGGAAGGCTTGTTAAACCAGATTGCTGGGGCCGGGCACAGTGGCACATGCCTATACTCCCAGTACTTTGGGAGGCTGTAGCTGGCAGGTCACCTGAGGTCAGGAGTTCGAGACCAGCCTGGCCAACATGGTGAAACTCCATCTCTACTAAAAATACAAATATTAGCTGGGCGTGGTGGTGTCCACCTGTAGTCCCAGCTCCTCAAGAGGCTGAGCCAGGAGAATCACTTGAACCTGGGAGGCAGAGGTTGCAGTGAGTCAAGATGGAACCACTGCACTCCAGACTGGGCCACAGAGCCAGACTTTGCCTCAAACAAAACAAAACAGATTGCTGGGCCTCAACCTCTGAGTTTCTGATTCAGTAGGTTTTTCTTTTTTCTTTTTCTTCTTCTTTTTTTTTAAAGATGGAGTTTGCTCTTGTTGCCCAGGCTGGAGTGCAATAGCTTGATCTTGGCACACTGCAGCCTCCTTCTCCTGGGTTCAAGTGATTCTCCTGCCTCAGCCTCCTGAGTAGCTGAGATTACAGGCGCCTGCCACCATGCCCAGCTAATTTTTGTATGTTTAGCAGAGATGGGGTTTCACCATGTTGGCCAGGCTGGTCTCGAGCTCCTGACAGGTGGTCCACCTGCCTCAGTCTCCTAAAGTGCTGGGATTATAGGCATGAGCTACCGCACCGGGCCTGATTCAGTAGGTTTCTAATAGAACCCCAAAATTTGCATTTCTACCAAGTTTCCAGGTGATGCTGCTGGTCCAGCACTGTAGCAGATCTATAATTCTCAAATCCTCTTGGCTTCAACTGCAGCCATAAATTTTGGCTACTAGGATTTAGTCATCTTGAGGTCCAAAATAGTACTAGACCTAGTCAGAGTTATGGAGGTAGCGGGATGAGGGAGAGGAACTGGAGCCAAAAATGCAGAATGAATGATAGTAGAAAATCATCGTTTGCAATGAAATAATGAGATAATGGCTCGCGGCAATGGTGCCACCACGCCCAGCTAATTTTTGTATTTTTAGTAGGGACACCGTTGGACCACGTTGGCCAGGCTGGTCACAAACTCCTGACCTCAGGTAATCTGCCAGCCTTGGCCTCCCAAAATGCTGGGACTATAGGCATAAGCCACCATGCCCAGCCCCAGCATTGTTTTAACAAGCCTTCCACTTGATTTTGGTGCCTGCTAAAGTTGAAAAACACACCCGGCCCCATATAAAGTCTTCATCAACCTTTGACCTAGTAGTTTTTTTTTTTTTTTTTGTTTTTTTTTTTTTGAGACGGAGTCTCGCTCTGCCGCCCAGGCTGGAGTGCAGTGGCCGGATCTCAGCTCACTGCAAGCTCCGCCTCCCGGGTTCACGCCATTCTCCTGCCTCAGCCTCCCGAGTAGCTGGGACTACAGGCGCCCGCCACCGCTCCCGGCTAGTTTTTCGTATTTTTTTAGTAGAGACGGAGTTTCACCGTGTTAGCCAGGATGGTCTCGATCTCCTGACCTCGTGATCCGCCCGTCTCGGCCTCCCAAAGTGCTGGGATTACAGGCTTGAGCCACCGCGCCCGGCCGACCTAGTAGTTTTAATAGTCATTGTTTAACAAATAGGTGAAAGGTTGATGAAGACTTTGTATGGATGGATCAGGTTGCCGTTATATGAACTTACTGATGAATCTTTTCTACTCTTTTGAGATAGGGTCTTGCTCTGTTGCCCAGGCTGGAGTGCAATGGTGCAACCTCAGTTCACTGCAACCTCTGCTTTCCGAGCTCAAGCGAGTCTCCTGCCTCAGCCTCCTGAGTAGCTGGGACCACAGGCCTGAACCACACCTGGCTAATTTTTGTATTTTTTGTAGTGACAGGGTTTTGCCGTGTCGCCTAGTCTGGTGTCAAATTCCTGGGCTCTAGTGACCCACCCGCCTCAGCCTCCCAAAGTGCTGGGATTACAGGCGTGAGCCACTGTGTCCAGCCAATTTTTGTATTTTTAGTAGAGACGGGATTTCACCATGTCAGGCTGGTCTGAAACTCCTGACCTCAAGTGATTCGCCCACCTCAGCCTCCCAAAATGGTGGGATTACAGGCGTGAGCCACTGCTCTGGGCCGAGACTATTACATATGAAATGTGGTCTTTGTTTATATCTTCATTTTTGAAACTGTTTTTGAGACTGTTAGGGAATACTAAATATAAACTGGATTTTGTATGATATTAAGGATTTACATTTTTTTTGAGATAGGGTCTTGCTTTGTCACTGAGGCTGGAGTGCAGTGGTGCTGTCATGACTCACTGCAGCCTTGACCTCCTAGGCTCAAGTGGTCCTCCCACCTCAGCGTCCCGAGTAGCTGGGACCACAGGTGCATGCCACCACACCCAGCCAGGATTTATGAAATTTGTATTGGGTAAGACTATGATTTTTTCTTTCAAAGACTGGGTGTGGTGGTTCATGCCTATAATCTCAGCACTTTGGTAGGCTGAGGCAGGAGTATTGCTTGTGGCCAGGAATTCAAGACCAGCCCAGGCAACATAGAGAGACCCTGTTTCTACAAAAAAAAACCAAAAAACAAAAAACTTTTAATTAGCTGGGTATGGTGGCAAACACCTATAGTCCTAGCGATGCAGCAGCGGGAGACTGACTTGACCCCAGGAATGTGAGGCTGCAGCAAGCTGTTTGCACCACTGCACCCCAGCCTCAGTGACAGAGCAAGACTTTGTCTCTGAAAAGAATAATTTTTTTTTTTTTCCCGAGACGGAGTCTTGCTCATGTCGCCCAGGCTGGAGTGCAATGGTGCCATCTCAGCTCACTGCAACTTCTGCCTGCCGGGTTCAAGCTATTCTCCTGCCTCAGCCTCCTGAATAGCGGATATTACAGGTGCCCACCACCATGCCTGGCTAATTTTTGTACTTATAGTAGAGACGGGGTTTCGCCATGTTGTCCAGGATGATCTCAAACTCCTGACCTCAGGTGATCCTCCTGCCTCAGCCTCCCGAAGTGCTGGGATCACAGGAGTGAGCCACTGCGCCTGGCAAAAGAATAATTTTTTTGAAAAATAAACAATTTTAGAATGGTTTTAGATTTATAGAAAGATTGCAAAAAGTTTCCATTTAATCCAAACACTTTCACTTATTTACATCTAATATTAATATTTTTGTTAGAGTTATTTTAATTTTATTTATTTATTTTTTATTTTTTGAGAGAGTCTCACTTCATCCCCCAGGCTGGAGTGCCGTCGCGAGATCTCTGCTCACCGCAACCTCCTGCCTCCCAGGTTCAAGGGATTCTTGTGCCTCAGCACCCCGAGTAGCGGAGACTGCAGGCATGCACCACCAGCCAGGCTAATTTTAGCATTTTTAGTAAAGACAGGCTTTCACCGTGTAGGCCATATTGCTTTCAAACTCCTGACCTCAGTTGATCCAAAGTGCTAGGATTACAGGCATGAGCCATGGTGCCCGGCCCTGTTATTAAATTATTGACAAATATTGATACATTGTTGCCAACTAAAGTCCACACTATATTCACATTTCCTCAATTTCCCTCATGTCTTGTTTCTTTTTTTTTTTTCTTTTTTTTTGAGACGGAGTCTCGCTGTGTCGCCTAGGCTGGAGTGCAGTGGCGCGATCTCGGCTCACTGCAAGCTCCACCTCCTGGGTTTACGCCATTCTCCTGCCTCAACCTCCCGAGTAGCTGGGACCACAGGCGCCCGCCACCAGGCTTGGCTAACTTCTTTTTGTACTTTTAGTAGAAACAGGGTTTCATCATGTTAACCAGGATGGCTACAATCTCCTGACCTCGTGATCTGCCCGCCTCGGCCTCCCAAAGTGCTGGGATTACAGTTGTGAGCCACCGCGCC